AAGACTCTACGTTAAGAACAAAACTAGGCCGAAGCAAAAGAATTGGCGGCTGTGATTCCTTGTCAGCATTAAAAAAAAAATCATGAGTTTCTGGTATTTTTTTTTTTTTTAATTTTACGCATATATTTAAATTGGTTTATTTCTGTACATATGAAACTGATTTTCCACATATTGCTGAAAGTTTTTGTGCGCGTTCTTCTTGGCGTTTCTGATGGCAAGAAGAATGCGTAAAAAAGTATAAAGTAAAAAGGGAGCTATTGAAAAAAGCCGTGCAAAAAAGACCGCGCAATAAGCGGATCCAGTGTATAGGCAAATTAAATGAAATGTAGAATTACTTCGTAAATGGAATGAAATTTGTATTATCAACGCATGTAAATGTGAAATTTTACACACGAAATTTGCGCAAGCGTTATATTTTTTAATTTCTATTAAATTGCTGTATTTCCAAATTATATTGAACACATTCTTCGTTGTGTGAACGCCTCCATTTTCGCAACGCCGACTGAATTGCAAATAACGTGCGACAACTATAAATTCCTTAAACTACATTAAACAACGAATGTCATCGTTAACTGCTTATTATCACCATTATTTTGTCGACATAAACAACAACAAATGACATCATGCCAACGTTACGCATACATATGCAAACAAACCAAAAAAAAAAAAAACAATTTATTACATCTTACCTCATCCGGCTTCTGCGGCTTCTATCCACAATCGCTGCTGCTTTTTCTTCCCTTTTCGCTTGCCACAACAATTTGCATTTGAAAAAATAAAACAAAAAAAAAACGATGCAAATTGTAAACGAAATATAAATGTGATGATTTAATTTGAATGTTTACTTTCTGTTTACATTTTTACAAAACAAAAATATTTCGTTAAAAAAAAAAACGTGTAAATAAACTTTTGGTAAAAACAACTACAACGATCAACAAAACTGCACGGCTATCCTACACACAACTGAAATGAAAATCAATTATTATTAAAATTAAAAAAAAAAAACAAAAACCAAAAACAAACTTCTATCAACGAACTGTACCACTGTAATCTTTTTGATTCGATTTGCACTTGCCTTGTACAATCAAAACTTCATCAAAATTTTGTAAGTAAATTTCATGCTATACGAATTTCGTAGCTTAACCGACAACCACAATTTGCAATTAAAATTTTTCATTTTTGATTTTCCCTCCAATTTGTTCGTGTTTATTTGTGTTTCCCATTTTAATGAAACTTAACCAACTGAAATTAGTTTCGTCTGTTGTGCACTTAACAGCAAGAAAAATAAAAGTAAATCAAATTATATTTACATACATACATACACATTTTAGTATATATAAATACCCTAAACTTTTCGTCGAAATGGTTTTAAAAATGTCCGTGATTAGTGTCAGCAACAACTAAATGTTGTTTGAATGTATAACTAAGGAAAGCTATAAATCAACAAAAAAGAGCATTAAATATGGATAAGACTGCGCGGGATAGTACATTATACTTTTAAGGCAACACAGTTTATTCGTTTTGTTTTTTTTTTTTTTTAGTATAAAATAATGATTGTAGCATAAAACACTTTGCACGTAAACAATTTAAAGTTTTCGCAACGTTGCTGTTCAAATAAATAAATAGTTTTTTTTTGGATTTAAGCTTCGACGCTCGAACTTACCAGAAAAATTTAATTTTCCATAAGATTTTCACACAAATCCGGAGACTTCATAAAAAGTTTGTATGCTTGCTAAACTCAATTTGAGTATGTTTTTGCATACTATTCGCAGCATTCAAAATAAGTTGTTTGCTCGACGGGATCCTTTGTTCTGTTGTAGTTTTTTTTATACCCGAGCGCGTTCAAAACTCTGATTTATATAGAAAAAGACCCAAATAAATTTGACTTGAAAAACGATGTGAATATTTAAAAAAAAAATCAACACGTAAACACTAGTTTCGTTCCTCAAATTTTCTGGATAAAACCAGCAAAACCGCCAAAAATCAAATTTGCTCTCAGAGAAAGAGAAAAAAAACCAAAAAGTACGCGAACGCTTTTCGGGTAAAAACTGGTAAAACTGTCAAATAAACTGTGGACGCCATTTTTTGTTTGCATAGCAGTTTTTTATCATTTGGCAAACAGCTAAATTATATGCAAATACGCAAGCAAATTAACAAAAATACTTAAAACACCAATTGAAAACTCAGATGTACATTTGTTTTTTTGCTTATTCAACTTTCAAAGCGTTTGAACAGCTGATGGTTTGACACTTTACCAGATTTTACCAGCAAAAATTCTTCGGGTAAAATCTTGCAACTTCTTATAAAGAGAGTGCCGATTTTACTCTCTCATTTTCACGCTTTCTGGTAAATTCCTGCAAATTCTTGCAACTTCTTGCGAGTTAGGGAACGCAACTACTTTGTCAACGCGAATTCTTAGCCACCAATCTTCCAAAAATTAAATTGGCGTCCGCATTGAACTTCAGTAAAAAAAAAGCAGCACAATTTAGATGTGGACCAGGACACCGCTACATTTTTCTCAAACCAGGACAAATCCTGGAAAGCCGGAACGTATGGCAGCCCTAATGTAGAAGGATGTTTTCGTGGTTTAGTATTTTAAACAAATATTTGTGTTATTGATCAAAAATTAAGCTGGAGATCAATTTTTTTCACGCCTCTTTTATTAATAAAACTAAATTTGGTAAATATCAGAGCCTCTCAGTATAAATTTTTAAACTTATTAATATTTACAATAATTTTATTATGATGATCTATAAACGACCGAAAACTAATAGGTCTAACTATTCGATTACCCAAGCCGAGCCTAAATGTTTGGTCGGAAACTAAAGAAAACATTTCATTATAATTCAAATACTAAATAAAAAAGAATATACTAAATAAATAATAACAAAAAAGCTTATCTTTTCTCTGCCTTAATAAGTGCTTGAGCATGCAATCCAATTACATGCGGCTTCAAATGTTGACAAAACTTTTTAATGTCAAACATTCTACATAGATAGTGCTTGCCGCTGCTCCATCCTCGCTTGCTACTCTCCCGCACACCTTGCTAGCCGTCACACTCTGTCTCTGCATGATTATTTGCCTACGAATTTCTTCCGCTATGTAATTATCCTTTGTATTGTATGTATATTGAAGATGTGTACTTTTATATGTACACATGGTATGTATACTGTCTGTGTGTGTGTAGAAGTAAAATGCCATGTTGCATGCCTCAACGTGTAAGTACCCACGACTGAATTCTATTTGGAGCCATTTGTTTTTTTTTTTTT